CCCAGGCAGCCGGGGCCGTGCCCCGCCGTGGTGCCCGGGGGGTTTGCCTGCCTGGCGGGATGGGGAGCACGGGGCCCTGCCACAGCACAGGAGCTGCTCTGGCCCCTCTGCGCAGGTGACAAGAGGGTCCAGAACACAAGCACAGGCAGGGGCTGGGGTGGTGGGAGGGTCAGTGACACAGAGCAGCAGTGACCATGGGTGTCTGCCACCTCCCGTGGAGCTGCTGCTGCCTTCATGCTGACAGGGAGGGGAGGCTTCCTGCTGGGAGCACAGACAGGAGGAGCTGCCAGGGCACTCCGGCCTCCTGGGAATAACGAGGGGGGGTCTGCCCCCACCCAGGCTGCTGGGAGCAGCTCATGGACAGGAGCCTCCTGCAGCCCCTCGGCTGCCCTAGTTCACTGGGGTCTGTTCCAGGCTGGCAAGACACCGCAAGATCGTGGAGCCCGAGGTGGTCGGAGAAAGCGACTCGGAGGTGGAGGGGGAGGCGTGGCGCCTGGAGCGGGAGGACACCAGCGAGGAGGAGGAGGAGGAGATCGACGATGAGGTGCGCTCACAGCCCAGGGCAGCCCCCGCGTGGCACAGGCTGCCCTTGGCACAGACACGGGATGTGTGGCACAGCTGGAGGTGACACAACCCATGGGTCACCGTCCTCGTGTGTGGGGCGGGAGGCTGGGAGAGTCCAGCCTGTGTCCAGGGCCAGGCACGTGGTCCTGGAGCTCCAAGTGGGGCTGGTCTGACGGCTGCGCCCGTGTCTCCCGCAGGAGATCGAGCGCCGGCGCGGGATGATGCGTCAGCGGGCGCAGGAGAGGAAAACAGAGGAGATGGAGGTGATGGAGCTGGAGGATGAGGGTCGCTCCGGGGAGGAATCCGAGTCAGAGTCCGAGTACGAGGAGTACACGGACAGCGAGGACGAAATGGAGCCACGTCTCAAGCCCGTCTTCATCCGCAAGTGGGTGCGGGGGCAGTGCTGGGAGAGGGCCCGGGGGGCTGAGCAGACCCTCCTGCTCGTTGCGGGGGGCAGCTGTCCTCTGGGGAGGGATGGCGGCTGCAGGGCAGGGCACAGCTCCTCAGCAGTGGCTGCAGGATGCAGCTGTGGGACAAGGCTATGGCCAGCTTTGCAGAGGGTGAGGGGAGGGCAGGGGGTTGTGCCCCAGGGCCAGCTCCCACGTTGCCCACGTGCAGCTCTAGGGGAGCAATGCAGCAGCCCCAGCCTGGGCAGCACCGGGAAGCGGGGAGTCCTGGGACACGGCCTGTCCTTGGAAAGGGCTGCAGTGCAGGAGGGGGGTCTGCACTGGCTGGTGGGGGGGCTGACGGCTGCCATGGTCCCTGCC